AAAAAAAGGTAGTGTGAATTAACTCCCTTATATTCATATAAACTGAAACTGATCTTAGCACTTAGAGGAATACCTATTTAAAGTCTTCTATTGATGTCTCTTACACCATTGTCTCATTTTTGTTTCTCTTCATGCCTAGTAGAATACTTATGTTTAAAACATAAAAAGAACCCCTCCATTTGTTATACTTGCTCTGCTTTTCCCTCCCCACAATGTATTATGAACTCTCCATTAAAAATATAAACAACAGTTTGTTAATTTTCAAGATTTTTGAAATGAGTTTCTACATTGTGCACTTTGAATCAGAAAAGCTAAAATAATTAGATTTAATTCAGCACATTATTGGTTTTCTTTACTATGATACATCTGCATCTTAAATATCTGAAGAAATAGTACAATGCCATACATCAAAGCATATCAAATTTATAACCTCTTAAATGTAACCTCAGAAAACGATTACTAAAAATTCTTGCCAAACATCTGAGTGCTGACAGACTGCCGTTCCAAAGTTTCATCTGAAGTTTGCAAGCCAATGGATAAAGTCTAAAATTGCACTTCTGATGTTCCAAAATACTAACAACTGCATCAAGCATGAAAGGCAATGGAAGTGCCAAGATCGCAGAGCTCACAGTAAATGTTTCTTTTAGTCAAAGGCTGGCTGTTGGAAGAGAAGGAAAACAAAAATACCCGGATAAAAGGAAACATGGATCAAGAGCTTCAGCTAAAAAGATTTAGTGGATTCATCCCACTTAACTTTAGCACTTAACACGAGAACTGCACTTTGTTGCCTTTAAGTTACAGATTCCCATTATATGCACAAAAGGATAAAGTTTGCATGTAGATAAAGGATAGCACAGAAGTTTGGTGTGCTATGCTCTACAGTTTTGGACAAAAAATGCCCTCTTTTTCACAGGTAAGTAATATTGACATATAAATATTTTTACTTGCTCTTTTTCTTCCTGGACCCTTTCCAAAGGTGATTCAAACTGCTAACCTAACAGACAGCAATTCACTTTTGTGGTTTTCTTTTTTTGGTCAAGTTAGGTTTCTGTTTAGTGGTCTGAATGGTCCCACTGCAGCATTAGAGATGTGCCAGAGCTCGTGCAAGAGGAGGAGAGAGGAGAATCAGGAGCAAAGAGGTAAGGCATTCTTACAGCTATTGGGTCTACTTGGGCAAAATGTATAATTTCATCTTGATTTATGCTTTGATGGAACAGCCTTCTTACTCGTGCTCCCCTGATTATACAAAGACACTAGGGCAACAAGGGTCCACATTTAGAGATAGAAGGTAATTGCTGAAGTTAGAGTGGGAAGAATTGAGACCACAAGTCAGGTTTTTTTGTGTGGTTTGGTTATCCACAGTTAAAGACAGAGGGTCAAGTGTTCAGCTGATTAAAAAGATAACATGGACTACAAATAATAATGCAAAAAAACATGGATTTGAAATATTGTTTTTTAAAAAAGCAAACACTGTTTACTAGAAGGTTATTAATTGGAGACCCCATTGTTCCTCCAAACAATGTTTTATGCTCTTCAGATGGATCTGGAAAAACAATTAAAAACCATACTGGTTATCTAGACAAAGTATATAAAATTTCTTGTTCTGAAATCAGCTGAAAAATTTGGCTGTACTAACTGTACTTGCTATCATGCATTGAGGGGTTTACAAATGGCATCACAATATTGCATATCCCAGTTTCTTCTGATAGCTCAGAGGGCAGCAGCACTGTGAAGGCTTTATTATGAATCTCTAAGAACATAATCTCAGCATGATCCTGGATACTGATCATTCACAATAATGCCATTGAACTCCCTCTCAAATAGTGAAGCTTGCATTTATCCATATGAAGAAGACAGCAAATTTTACCATACCAGCTGTTTTTAATGACATAAATGAGAAGCTAGATTAACAGGTTTTCCACATTTGTTTACTAATTAATTCAGAAAAAAAAAAAGAAACAGAAGACCAAGAAACAATTAAGAATTTGAGCCAATAATATAGCCAAAATAAAAAAAGCTTCAATTTTTTTCCTGTATAGGTGAACCCAACCTTTTTAGAATATGTACAGTCAAATGACTAATTTTTACTTTAATTTCCCACAGCAAAATATAACATAATTTGAAATAATGAACTATTTTATCATATGAATATCTAGTGTAATTTTTTTCCAGTAATAAAAGAGCTCACGTAAGAGCCCTAAATGAATTCTTCCAAGACTCAGACTTTAATATCAAACTTTTTTCTTCCAAAATTAAAATACGTGGAAAGGGAAGTAAGATTAAGCATTAATGTATTTCTTTATCTAAAAAGTGTATAAAATGCTGTAATTACCTCCAAAGCAATCATTATGAATCCAGCTGATATCACAAGCAGATAAAAATAAAAAAACCCAACCTTTCAAACTCCAACATTAAAAAAGAGTTAATACAGTCTGAGACCACACAGGATGGAATACCTTAAGTCAAAACTGTATATGTACTGAAACACGTCACTGTAAGACAGCATTAACATTGTTTTGGAAATTTGCTTGTACTTTTAACATACCTAAACTTCAATTTACGTTAACTATGACTATCTTGGGTTTATCTGTTCAAGAATTCAAATGTTTTTACTTGCAAGCACGAGGGCAACAAGGTAATTCCTAATGAGACATGACAGTTTAGTATGTGCAATGACTAAACAAGACTGATAGTAACCATATTATATGATAGCATGTACACAACACATAAAGCCATAATTCATATTTTTTCAAATTGCATATATCTGTATTTACAGATTGCATGTTGCTTTTATTTAAAAACACATACCTTGTCTAAATGAAGTCAAGTCTTTATTAGCCCAAGATCAGAAAATTTGGATTGTCTTTTTCTATTAGCAGGGATATTTACTGTGAAATTGTGCTGTTCTGCATATTTAACTTTTCAATAAGATGGCAAAAAAAATATAGTTGAAGAGTAATTCACTGTAGACTAACTTGTCTTATCCTGTATAAAGATTTCAATACATGACATAATTGCCTTTTAGAGAAATTCATAAACTGTGAAACTACTGGAAGAGGTCTGCATAGAAAGTAAAAAATAAAACGCTGCATTAGGAATAAACAGAGATGACAAAAGTTAAACATACACACACACTTGTTATTTTCACCCATTCTCCTAAAACAACTTCAGCTCATTTTTGTATTTCTTAGAGGTTTTTTTGTGCCCCATACTGGTATTTAATGGTTTTCCTCCTCCAAACATGCAATGTCAAATGTCTCTTTTTCAGTATTTATATCCTTTTCTGCATAGGTGACTTGAAAAAACATTATCATTGTTAGGTAAAACAATATGACTAATATGGCTTATTTTTAACAGATATAAAAAAAATGTCAAAATTGTAATAATTTTGGAAATATTTGCTCCATTTCCAGGGTACGAGGAACATTCAGGATGAAGTCTGTTTCAGACTCAAGTATGTACTTTTTTTTTTATAAAGCCTGCTTCACTCAGCCTGCTTGCATCATTGCCCACGGTTTGAAAATTTTGAGTGGTGAAATGACACAAACAAGCAAACTGCTGTCTATCAAGAATCAATTATGTGGGTAGTCATAGGGGCTAAAATTGTTTTGATGTAAACAATGTTGCATAGCTTTGAGGTAGAATTGTTATAGTTTTCTTACAAAACACTGTTAAATTTTACCTTTATTTATCACTTTCTACTGATTTTTATCAGCTGCAATGCATGTTGGTTGATATGAAACTACTAAAACTAGGCACCCAAGGTGTGACCACTTGAGAGCATAACTACTTGGGAGCAGCACGACTTGGGAGAGGAATAGGAAGAGGACATTTTGAAAGAAATTAATTTGAAATTAGCCTGCCAAGGGCCTATCATATTGGAAATACAGCAAATTCACTACATGTTTATATAATTAAGTCATGTTTTGTCAATGTATTTTTTGTATCATTAATATAAGGATATGATAACTCATCAATGCAACAATAATACGCTTATAAATTCTTTAGAAGAGCTTTAAATGTTTTCCATTACATTACTAAAGAACAGCAGGTTTCACATAAAAAAAAAATCACTAAAAAACAAAAGAAAAAAACAAATCCAAACATCACCCAAATGGAACATTTGCCTTAGTCTCAGTCTTGAATTTAAAGTTTAAGTATAAAATGTGGATACAGACATCAGAAATAGGAACTATTGAATGATTACTTGTGATACACCTACAGATGATCCTGCCTGGTCAATGACACCTGCAGTGTGGGGAAGCATGTTCAATTACTCTCTTCTGTAATTAGACTATTTTAATCTCTATGCATGGAACTTCACAAGCACTACAATCAATTCAGATAGTTAAATTCAAAAACTATTCTAGGAGGAAATTGCATCAGACAAACACAGTGCGGATCAGCATAGAAAGTATACAACTTCAGAACTTTTCAAAAAAAATTTTATTTAAGGTGTTTGTTCCACATTTGAGATCTGCACCGAGATCTGAACAGAATTAGTAGTTTCCACTTAAGTTGAGGCTCACTTAGACTCAGCTGTCAGTGAAATTGTTTTGGTTCGGTTCTAACAAAAAATGGTTTTGTAACTGCAACTTGTAACCAGAGACAAACTGGTTTGGACCAATTCATGACATGGGGTTTGGTTTACTGATCTGAGAAGGGAATTGGGAGGAATAGCAAGAAAAGGAGATGGAGGAGAACAGTTCTGGAAAAGACTTGAAGAGGTGCATGGATAGTCACTTTTCTATGGAAGTAATAGTATAAGAATGAGTGATAATGCAATCTCAGGATAATTTGGGGGAGTTGCAGATTCCTTTAAAGGAAATCTCCCCATCTTGCCCCCTCTTCCCAGTCAGAGAATTGATTATGTTTCTGAAAATGACACAAACAAAAAACCCCAACAAATCAAACCAAAGTAAACCAACTTTTTCCCAGGGTTTAAGGCTGAGAAGACAAAAAATGCACTTATGGTAGTAATGCTAAAACAGAAAGATTACCTCACGGTGATTTAGAAGTCTCTCCAAATCTGCTGCCATTTGATTCTTGACACGCAGCAAAGCTGTCTTTTCTTTATTTAAAAGACTGGTAGAAAGATGATAGGAAATGCAGTAATAGCAACAGATAATCTCTTTTAATCTTGTATTCTGGCTGAAACATGCATTTTCTAAAGCTAAATACTGGCAACAATGAAAATCTGCTCAAGTAATTGTATCAAGTGATCCTTCTCTATGTTCAAGCACTGGAATTTTCATAAATGGGCCTGAATGCACTGATACATACAAAATCTTATTTTAGTAAAACTGAAATACTATTAAAAATCTTCAAAAAATATGGGTGTTTTTTTAATTCTCTGAAGGGTAATTTAAATTATGACAATCTTCTATTATTATCTCGGGTTTTTTTCTAGGGCAAATGAGCTCATTTTATAAGCAAAGTATGGCTCCTTATATCTATGCTTCTACACCAAAAACGTGGATTTCTTTGTCATAGGCACACACTGTTCTCTCCGTATCACCTCTTTAGATACTAGTGTATCTAGAATTCAACAAATTCTGCTGTATTTAGAAAATGCCAAACACAGGAAAAACATCCAGATCTCGCTTTTAGCTGTGTAGTTTCTGCAGAAATTCTGAGTGTATTTTTTGCCATTTTTGTATTTTATATTTCAGGAGAATGCATGGGATCAAATTTGTCACGTGAATCAAGTATGAAAACTCTTTAGGCATGAAGGCATACTTTTATAACACAATGTCAAGTTTAACTTTAATTGTTCTTTGTTTTCTTAGTTACAGAATATGAACATTTGAAATGTTTAGCTTACACATTCTGATTCTAGGCAGAAATTCTAGTATCATTAAATATATTTTAATATTTAGCCCCAACATCATTTTCCAACAATAAACTGTAGACTAGTGCATACATAATGCCAGTATGTAATATAGTTTGTAAAAGTAGCCACAGAGATTTTCTTGGAAGGCCAATGTTATATATGCCATTATCAAGACACATAAGTTGTACAATATAAACTATAACATAAACAAGAACTATGAAAAATGCAATTCTGCATATGGAGTGCAAATATGTAGTACTGAATAGAGGTCAGGAGTTCAAAAGCAAATATTAAAATTTTATAAATGTAATGGAGCCATTACATATGTTGCAAACAAAAATTATTCAATATTCCCAGTATTTAATCCAGAAATAATCAACAAAATAAATAATTTTCTTTAATTGGCTGTGCATCGTCTGCTTGTTTCAAATATGCAACATCATAATTTGTCCCAGAGATTTTCTGGCAGTTCCTTGCAAGCTCTGTACTGTAAATTATGACTGTCAATTCCTTCTAGGCATTCATTAATTCTCAGAAAAATTGTATGCTTTGGCCAAATTGCTTAGTTGTCTGAGTTATTTAAAAGGGAAGTAGTAACATTTATGAAAAACTAAAAAGATATTTTAATATTTTCAAGAGCTTTTTCTGTGACATTTTTAATCATGATGAAATTGCTGTACTATTTTTCTCCTGGGTTCATGTGTTGTAACTTACTGATACATCAGGCTTTCTTGGATTTCTATACTTCCTAACAGCATAAACCAATCCTTTTAGAGAATGACTCACAAACTTATTAGAAAAACAATAACAAAAGTTCCTTTATGCCTTAAATAGTGTACTGAATTAGCATAAACACCAGTGTTCATGACCAAACGAGAAGTTCATGTTCAAGGTTCAGTTTCATCTGCAGAACAGAACCTATTCTAGTTCTACTAGTTATACTTTCTGAAACAATATGACATGACTGATCCATGTGGAGCAGTTCTAATTTCTTTGTTTGTGGTCAAATATAGGAATTAGACTGCTACGCCATGAAGTAGCACTTGATGTGTTTTCTGTCATACATACAAATATACAATTACCAAAGCATATACAGACTTATGATTTAATAGTTTTGCAAGTTACGCTTTTTCATCATTGCAGATAGAAGGAAATAATTAATATACTTCTCAAAGAACACTGCAAAAGAGACATATATACATTTAAGAGTGAGAAAGCAGTGTTACCAGACACAACATTAATAAATTCACACCTGTAATAACCAAGTAAAGCAGCAATTCCTTCAAAAGTTCAATTTTGGAAGGAAGACTGACCGTTTCAGCCCCTGTTATGGAAATATTCTGAACAGGCATCTTGAATACCAGCAGTCAAGGAGGTTCTAGCTTTAAAATACCCTTCACTTCTATCAAACAGTAGTTTAAACTAATCCAGTTTTCATTAGCAGTGTAACAAATCAGAAAGCAGCTTTACCTTCACTTCAGCTGACCTAAGTGAAAACTGTTGCTGAAAGATCATCCTTCCCTAACCACATACTGGCAACCTGCTCTTTGTGTTGGTAGTAGAAAATTTGTTACTGCCAGTGTAAGTCACTTCACTGATCTATATGGAAGATGGAGTCTTTTTAAAGGTTATTTTTCACATGGATCACCAAAACAATTTGATTTACCTTGTACAGTGGAAACTCACTGCTGAAGGTAAGGATGAAACTGCTCCATTTGGTGACAGAGTGCCTTAACTGTCTTACTATGATTCTGAAACCACAATCTGTGAGACAAAAACCAGCTTTTCACACCTGAGCTCAAGGATTATAACATTCATCTGAAGAGACAGGATCTTCTTGACCATCTTTAACTAACCAAACTTTTAAGTTTTCATTATATAGACATGTATTGAAGAACTAGAGTACTAAACATTAAATCTTCCAATGACTTTTTCTGGGGTAAAAACACATGAACACTTGGGAGAAATGGACTGAGTTCAAATGATCTAATATCCCTGGAGTTATTTAACAGCACAAACGGCTTTTTTTACACTGCAGGGCAAGTGTAGACTGTGCTGTGCTCCACAGTCCTGGACACTGACTGCTCCATCCTGAGTGTGGAGAAGGTGCCCTTTGTGATACATCATATAACCATGGTTCCAAAAGTCCAGGTTGAACTATTAACTGAAAAGCCATGCAGGTCCTGCTTTTTCTAGGTGTCTGGGTTTCAGAAGAAACCAAAATGTCTGGGAGGAGATTCAGTTTCATTCCATCATGCTTTCAAAACCTAGTCAGGTATGAATCCAGGTACAAGGAATGCAGGACTTACCATGGAATACACTTGCCATATACGTACACATTGCTCATAGCAACCACTGTCTTGTTATGTTTTGCTTTACTCAGGATCTAAAGTCAAACGAGCTTGGATATCATAAGTAAGACATTTTTAGGTGACTTGTTTTTTCTCAAGAATGGAGACTAACATTTCCCAGTCCCAGTCTTTTAAAGCCTTTTGAATTTGGGCAATTAAACCATCTTTTAAATCTCTGGTATAAATATACCAGCTACTATCCTGTTCAAAAGCTTCTATTATTAGTTGTTCTGGATAATATACTTACACTAGACACACTAAATAAAAATGGTTTTATATATTACTGGCTTTTATTATTACTTCTATCCAGTCTGAAAACAAGTAGGTTTCTTTTTCAGTGAACTGTGTACCCCAAATGCTATAAGATATAAGAATTTTGCCTTTCTGTTAATTTTACATTACAGCATGATGAAGTCCAATCTTGAGGTGTTTTTTTGTATATGAACATAAATGAAAAAAATTAACCACCAAAAAAAACTCCATAGAAGTAGTATATATATAGAGGTTTTGTACATAAAACTGAATATATAACATAGTTACATAGTGCAGCTATCCCTTCTCTGCAATTAAAGAGATTAATAGCTGAGAGCAGACAGCTAATTTTTAAGTCTAAGCCAAATTGTCTTTTTAAGTCATGTAGTTAGAGAGGAAGATATAAAAAATTCTGTGAATAAAAGTTCTTCAGAAGAGAGAATACATGAAAAATTTGTGATCTCTCATTGTGTGGCTAAATAACCACAGATCAGATTTTTAAAGGCATTTGTGAGAGTATTGCTTAATGATTTTGATTGGAGTGCTTCAGGTGGCTTAAAAACTCATCTGTGTATTGTCCAAATTGAAAATAAATTACTTTTTCAAATTGCTAAAAAAAAACCCAAACAACTTTTTAAAAATTGTAATACAGGTCAGAAAACATTAATTTGTAGGAAAAAATATATATTTCTACAGATTTTGTTTGGAGCATATAGATGTTATATTTCACAGAATGGCAATGTTCTCATAAAAAGCTCACAGCCCATTCTGTGATGGGAAAAACTCAGCTAACACTGTATGCTGAGCTTTATAATGTTTGGATGGCAATTAGAGAGCCCAAAATGTTTAGGTAAGAAGCATTTCAGTACATAGCTTCTTAGTGAGCAAAATCCTTGTTACTGCTTCTAGATTTGCTGCACAGTTAGGCTTTTGAGTGCTTTTGGGTAAGTGAACCACTTTTAAAACCAGCCATTTGTACTGAGAAATTTGAGTAACTACATTTAAAATAAATACCCTTTCTTTATGAATAAAGTTCTGTTTAATGTCTCCAGTTATTTATAAACCTAGGTGGTTTTAGCAGAAAATTATGTACTAAAGCTACAATTACTGCATTACACACATAAGAATGAAATTCAGAGATTTGTTTTCCTACAGCATGACATAGTTACAAGACATTTCTTTTCAAAAGGAGTGCTAAATGTGATGTTTTCATTTCTGGTTGAAGAACTGTATTCTAGAGAGATTTCGTTATAGCAGGAAGGAGTCATCCTCATACATACCACTGCTTTTATTAACCATTGCTATTTACTTTTATTAACGAGAATGCTATGTGGCCTAACATAAATGAGAGGTCACCTAACAGAATATTTTGAGATATGCAGACCACCTATAAATTCACCCCGCAGATGCCCTGTCACTCAAGACCAGAGGTTTTGTATCTGAAGTGTATCTCCAGGTGCACAGTTCAGTGCACAAGCACACGAAGTGTTCTGCTCCCAGGGCCACCTCAATTCTCTCCATGGCCAAGTGCCAGCACAGCCTGTGGCCCACCTGGGAGATTCTAAGGGGATGGGAAGGAGAGTGGTAGTGAACATATGGTGGACAACATCTGACAGAGCTTCAATTACCCCTAAACAACCTCTCTTTTTATTTCTGAGTGGTGCCTCCACGCTTGAATCTAAGCAGCAATGTCATACACCTGTAATAACCTGGAGATGAGTCCCTAAGTTGTTCATGCAAATAACAGCAATGACAGCTGCTCACCTAAGCATTCACCCCAACCACAACAGCTCCTGCAGTTCTCAGTGAACGTACAGCTAAAGATCCACAGAGCTGTGTGACACGTGCCCAGAACAGACACACTTCTCAGCAAGCCATCAAAGTAGCTCCAGCTCTGGTGGAATACATACTACTTTAAGGCCTTGATTCAGTCTGGTACCGATTTTGCCTATTCCTCTCTTTTCAAGGCCAGGTTGGATGGGGCTTTGAGCAACCTAATCTAGTGAAAGATGGCCTTACCCTTATCAGGAGGGTTGGAACCAGATGATCTTTAAAGGTCCCTTCCAACCCAAACCGTTCTATTATTCTATAATTCAGTTTGACAGCTACTGACACAAGAAACCTTGAATTCTATTTAAATAGTCCTTCCAAGTCAGGGAGACATTTTGATATGGAGAGTCTAAAGACAGCCTTAGCTCTAGAAGTATGATGCTAAAGGATGAAGGCATGTAAACTGCTCTCATTAAAGTGAGCTCTGAAGACCACATTGGAAGGAAACTTAGATGGATCGCCAGGACTTCAAGAGTTTTATATCAAAATGATCTGCCTGAATCTATCCCACTTCTCTTGTGGAAATAAATGCTGTCAGAAATGACATTTTCATAGAATGACGCAGTGTGGGAAATCCTAAATACATGTGTTGGGGACCACATTATGTCACTTCAGGCCATTGCATGAAAAATCAGTAAAAGTATGGCACAAGAATGCCCAAAGCCTACACTAAGGAGATTGCTATCATAGATAGCCTTCCTCATAGTTGCCTTGCTCTTATACTGATTTCATCAAGACTGTCTGTTTCATCACAGAATCAAAACCACATACAATAGCAACCAACATCCTTCTCAAGAGACAGGGAAATACAAAGGACTGCAGGTTGCTGCTAAACATTCATAAGGTTGCAAGAAAGTACTGACTCATCATCCTGGGAAATCTGCTGAAACCTAACCACCCCAGGACTACGTTCTAAAAAGATTATTGGCCATCATCACTGTGCACAGAAGCCAATTATGGATTAAGTCTAAAAAAGTAAATTTACTTGCAAATTAGTCCTTGCTGATCCCTCCGCACTCAAGTAAAGTGAGAGGTGATAGAGAACTCTGGCACTGATAACACAGATGTGACCACTCTACTTAGGGAATCCATGTTTTACGCAATGCCAAACCATCTCTCTTGATAAGCAGGTGAGATAAAAACACAATATGAAAAGAAGACTCATCCGCCTTATGTTCTGCACATTAAGCACGAAGGAAGGAAAAGCATGACCACGCATAGGGTAGCCGTGAGGATAAAACTAAGTATTGAGTCTTGATTGTCAGGGTGCAGGTGTATCAACATTATGTTAATTTGTCTACAGTCTGGTACTCAAATATGAGATTTTGAAAAAAAAAGTATTAAAAAAAAATCACCTATATTTTTAAAGGTCTGCCTGAAAACAAGTATTTGAACATTATTTTTCCATAGTTGGTACTTGTGAAATTGCTTTATAGAAATAAAACTAATGCATGTCTTATATGTAAAATTTTAAAAAATAACAATGTAACTGTAGCATCAATTAAACCTTAACTTAAAAAGGCTACTGTAGAGCTGCACTATTAACTGCTAATTATAGGTAATAGTTGAAAAAAAAATTTAATTTTGAAATGGCTTTACAAATATTAATTTTTTCCTTTAGCTCTGAGATACAGAGAAACCAGGCTTCATAACCCATATTTAGTGTTTTCATTATTATTTTCTAATAGAACCAACATTACCTGCAGAATTTAGGGCCCTCCTTGAGGAGCACTAATTCTCTGAACTCATCCTCAAAAATATTCCACACACAAACCAACAAAATGCTGTTTAATAAACTAGGAAAGATGGATAGGAATAGTGGTCTAAATCTTTTGATCCAGCAGAGCTTTACTTGGAATATATTTGGTATGGATTATCATTAAATTACTTAAATCCCATTCTGATTCAGTTCTGGAATAGCTGGGAGCTAGACTGGTCCACAAAGTAATCTGAAATCACCTAAAGGATACTTTAATTTAAAACTGTCATCAACAGATTCCAAAAGGCTATCCTCATGACAAAAGACTGCTGGGACGTAATGGTTCTCTGGTTAGAAATCCCTTCCCCTGATCTTCCTCTCACTTATAAGAAAGCAAAGGACATTATCAATTTTACACCAGATTATGATTTCTCCTGTGCTCCAGGGAGTATCAGCTAACAAACTAGGACATTTGTTTTAAATGTAGAGTTATGAATAGCAAAATTAGGGACTACTGATATGTACCGAAAAGTGCTAAGGCATTAGGCTGTTTCCAAGGCCAATTTCACTGGCCTATGAAACTACGGCAAAGTTGAGGCAAAACTGTGATAAGGGAGTAATGGTTATTTTTAATTTACAAGGAATATTGGAAACTACAGGAAAAAACTTTTTACCAAAACATTTGATGTGCAAAGTAAGTGTTACTTTTTTTGCTACAAAACCATTAAGGATAAAAATATTTTTTTGTCAGACCGCACTTTCATTTACAGAAACACGGACTGGTGGTGAGCACACCCCAGCTCACCACAGTAGAATACTGCTGGGATGTTTACTATGAATGCTTGCACTGTGGTGCAGATCCATTTTCTTCCTTAACCTCAGGCACTTTAAGATGCCAAAATTTCCCTTTATAGTTAATGGAGAGTAACAGGCATCTCTAGCAAATGACTCACTTCATCCAAAATCTGAATTGCTTTTTGGAGATGCCACTTCCTCCATAAACTACTAAGGCCAGCTGACATGACTAAGTTCCTTATTTAGGTGCCTTAATTTGTAGGCTAAACGTAGGAATAATATCTGGGCATATAGATTATTTGTAATGAGTCATGAAACCTCAAGAGAATCAATGTTACTAATGCATTTAAGTTCTTATATATTTTAATGGCATGAAACATACACTTTCAGAAACGACCTCACCTGTCTCCTCCCTTTTTTTCCCTACCTTCTGAGAGACTTTTGGACAACTATGTGAATAATGAAAGATGTCTTCATGTTACCGTAATCTGAAAATTTAATTTGCTACTGACCAATTCTTTGATGATTTTATTCACAATTGGAAAGTATGATCCTGCATATATAGAGAACATTGTGATTTTTCAGCTCCTGGAAAAATATAATTTACCTTTGAAGTTTTTCTTATATCAAGTCTAGGAAAATATTAAAAACACTTGATTCTGGAATAAAAAAAAATCTACTCTTACTGAATCAAAATTAAGCACAATGAAAGATATCTTGTCAGGAAGTATGAATGAATATTTCAGCTTATTTAAAAATATATTCATTTATGTATAGATTTACAAAACACTCAGAATAGATACATGTGTAAGACAGTATGTAGGATAAAGTATTTATCTATGGTGAGACCTACTTTTTCTATTTTCATTGCTTCAACAGATCTGTTGGTAAAAAAATCTGTATTTTTCATGTAATTGCTTCATAACACAACCACATTAACATTCATAATTTTTATCGTATGCATTTCCTAAACTAAAATATCACATAAACACCAAACAGTTAAAATGCTAATTTTTCTGTATCGCAGTGGCACACACCTATCAACTTCCTTGAAAGTCATGTTCTTTTATAACAGCTTATTTGGGAATCAGATGTTAAACATAGTTGATACGGCTATACGATGGTGGGAAGTTGCCTAGTGGTCAGAGAGTTCTGATGGGGGATATAACAGCAAATTAGAGAGTCTCCACTAGAGGAAGTTGGCTTGAGTTGTGCCCGAAATACCCTTTGCTGATGGCCCAGTCTCTTCTTTTTCTCTCACTTCATTTTTTGTTTTTATTTTTGCACATCTGGTATGTCATTCTTTCCTTTTACTCTTCTGAACTTTCCTCTACTTCATGAGAGCTCTTCTCAACTCCAAACTCACTTCAAACCTGACTGTCATTGCTGCTTTTCCACACCTAAAGCCTTTTTTTCTGACAGTATGAGAGAAATCACAGATGCTCCAGCATAAAGATTGGACTTCATGATGAAGTGTCAACATCTCCTACTTCCTGGGCAATAACATAATTGTTTTCTAATGATAAACACAAAAGTGATTTTATTTTCAGTTTAAAATAAAGAAACAGTGGCTTTAATTACCTGACATCTTTTTCAAGTTGTGTAATATGTTCTTTCTGTATATTTATTTGAGAATCTCTCTGTTGCACAGTTTCAATGAGGTATTTGTACGGCTGTTGTACTTGACTTAACAAAGAATTTGCTCTGTCAAGCTGCCAAAAAAAGATGTATTACTATTATAAATTTCATAATTTATAAAGCACAATTACTTGATTATTACAGAATTATTATTTGATATTATTGGTTATTACCCATTGAATAATAATATAAAAACCAAACCTGTCATTTCACACACACAAAAAGAAACAAACTACCCTCAAATTAGTATCTTGTACATCTTCTGTTCTAATTGCATGACATTTTCACTGCCATCATGCTATCACTCTGCACTACCCTGATCTGTATTTTCAAGAGTTTTAATGTAACAGCTTCCGTTGATGAAAAAAATTAGTGTAGACAAAGCCTGTTTGTTCACCTTATTGACTATAAGTGACTTTTTAAAAACAGTATACTGATGTTAATGTGCTTTCGGTAAAAATGTTTCAATTGAGGCATACAAAAAGCAGAAATACAAGCAGAAATACAATGTCATGATGAAGGCTCGAAAAAGCCATTCAGCAGCAAGCCAAACACATCATCTTAGTGAATTTCTTTATTTAAGATACCACTTTTACTGCATATTGACTCAGTATTTGCTTTTTATGTCACCCAAAGCCCATATTAGCCTTCTAGATACAAGAGACTGTGTATCCATCGGTTCTGGCACTGTTGTTAAAAACCTCTGCAAAGTGAATTTATTCCAAAAATTTAGATTGCACACTAAATGCAGCAACGCAGATCACTACTTTGCAGAAGCTTATACATAGCCTTCCACTTACTTAAACTGAGAGCAACATGAAATGAGTTGCAGAGGCAATAAACTGATTATTACTAGCTCAGGATCATTCTGGTATCAGGTCATGTGAATTCCTTTATTGTTTGTCCTGGACATGGTCAACAAGACTTCTGTAGCATGAAATAAGTTTCAATACCTACTTTAACATTGCAGAACACTGCTATACAAAGCAACAGAGAGTCGACTTTAAGGGAAAATTATTTTCTAATGCTGTATCACAGATCTGAAAATAGATAGGATCATGAAGTTAAATAAAGCCTGACAAACTATAATGACTTGACTGACAAGTTTTCTTCAGCAGCTGAACTTTTCCATAGGGTTCCAACTTTCAAGCAGGTACATTCTATCAGATTTCCATCAAATGAATGAAATTATGGAGAAGTCAATACTTTCTTCTTGGTAATGCTGGACTTTCCCAGAAGAAAAATATGATTCCTTTGTATAAAGCTCAACAGCAATTGGTTGAGGACAATCCAAAAAAAAAAAAAAAAAAGACTCATACAAAAAACATCCATTGCAGTTATTGCAATCTTTTTCTTTTCTTCCCTCTTTTAAAGAGCTTAAAAAAATGCTGTATCACAAATCCTGCAGTGAAATACCAGTACTTGATCCAAGTTCAAAACAAAAGTTAGTCCAATCACTTTGTCATCAACTTTCAATCCATGTTCGAGATTTCTTCTAGATGACTGAACAAAATGCCAATCAAAAGAGTAATAATGGGCTACCTGAGCATGCTGTAGTCTACAGCATCTCTGTTTTGCTCTTTAAAAAAAAAAAAATCAAGAATGATGATAGCTTGGAGTGAAAATTGATCTTAGCTCAGGGGATGCAGTAAAGACAGTGAACAGAAGTTTAAGAATTTTAACTATATAAAGAAAGATAATAGGTACCAACCAGTATAAAATATGAAATGCAAATAAATATCAGAAACATTATGTCAGAGATATGATAAAACTGTATATAATGCTGAAGAAAACACAGAAGTTTTCAATAAAATTTTTTGCCCTCTGTTTGAAAAGAAGTCAGATGATCAGTTTGTATAACATGAGAATGATGAACTATTTTCCAGTCCCTTAATAACAAGGGTAAACTCTTTGTGCACATATTGAAGAATGGCAAGCAGAATGGTTTAAGTAATTCTTATCAAACAAGATGGCCTATAATCATATGCAAAATTTTTTAAAAAAAGAACAAATCTGATGAAGCATTCAGACCTGAATGCCAAATATGAGTTTAACAGAAAGCAAGTCTTAAAATATTTTATTTAACCTTATGAGTTTGATGTTAACAGGCTTAGTAGCTGTGCATTAGGTATCTGCAAGACCTTTAACTTTGTACCGGATGAGATTCTGATTTAAACCATACAACTATATGATAAAAGATCAAGAAAGGGCTACATGACATCTCATGGGAGAACAGAAATGAGGCAAAGATGTTCTAGTGGAATTTTGCAGGAATTTGAATTAAGGTCCCTGAATCTTTCATCAGTGATCTAGAAGCAAATATAAAACCATTGTGGGTAAGAAGACATATACTGAAGTGGAAAACAGACAGATTTAAGTGGGAAATAAAGCACAGGTTTTATTTTTTAGAATAGCAATAGAGAAAAATACCAAGGATAACACTGGATTCACAAATCTCTTGATGTCTTCAGCTCAAGAAGATTTTAAAGATATGTCTTAGTCAAATACAAATTACTAGGATATACCTAAGAAGAATCCATATTAAACTATAGTATTGATTAAAAAAAACCTGTACAAAAACTTCATTGTTCATGATCTTTCATTGAAATAATATATATTATCAAATACATACACATATTAAATACATAAAATTAATGTAACTTAAAAATATGTAGAAAATGCAAGTACTTTCACTGTGAAGTACTTGGATGTAGTTATTCTAATTTATAATTACCATGGTTTTTAAAATCAAACTGTTAATCACACTCCTGAAACAGTCAAACTAGAAATTCCATATGGTGGCAATGTCTAATAGCAAATCTAGAAGTTCTTTGGTTCTTAAGAGAAACTGAGAAAACAATCTTAAAAGTATTTAAAAAAATTAGTTCACCCTAATTCTGGGAGATTTCAAGCTGGGTTTTGTTTAGTATTTGTTCTCCATGACAATGTAATATGTGATTTCAGGGATCATATACTTAATTTTAAAAGATCATGAAATTAAACTCATAGTAACAAAGTGAAAAATAATTAAGTTTAGCTTTTTTGAAAAGCAGTTTATGTAAAACATTCCCTAGATTTGTATATTCAAGCGACTCAAGAACTGAACAATGTAGAAAAGGATTTACAGAAGTATCTTCAAATGTGATTTAAGAGAAGAGCTGTGTAAAAACTAATGAGGTATTAATTGAACACTTAACTATCAAACAGAACAAACTAGCTTGGCTAGCTGGTCTTTTGTTCAGAAATCAGAACGCTGTCTGTCTGGCTTACATTCTTGTTTAGCCTGTAAATTAATCCCTTTTTTGACCTTCATTTAAAAATAAAATATAAATTTACTGGAAAATGTTTAACAGAGTTTTGCTTAATTATGAGGCCGTTTTTTCACATCAGATAGATAATACACATTGTTTAGAAAATATTTCATTTTATGAACAGCTGTTCTGCAATGTTTATAGCTTCTACAGATTTGATTTTTTTCTAGCAGTAATTTACCTCTTGTGAAATCTTTGTTACTTGTTGCTTCTGATGTTCCAGATCTTTTACAAGCAATGAGTTTTGCTTTTCTAGCTGCAGTAATCTCCTTGCCAACTGAACACTGTGCCAATAAAAAGAAAGTTCAAGCTGAATTTTTTCCAAAACATGCAAAAGAAATCCTCACATTTATACTTCAGAACTTAATTGCCTTAATTTTTCACCAGTGGTTAAATACTGATATACATAAACTACACAGTGAAACATGCAGAAAGGTCAAAGTTAGAAAAACAATTAAAATATTAAAATTTAACAGCAATGAAATAACATTCCCACAGTTATGCCATTGTAATATTTTTTACAAAGTTACAACTAATTATGAATATTTACTTTTTATCAACTTAAAAGTTGGGAATCACTGTAATTGACTTCTCCTTAAATGTTTTTTTTAAAATGCACAATAGTTTACATTTTGCAATGGAACTCTGAAAAATTTAGTATTTTATCATTTTCAAAACAGAGGCAAAATTGTTTTGTCTGACATTTAATATGCTAAATAATTAAATGTTACTGCCACTTTTCAAAAAATATACTTTTGCGTAGATCCACAAATTAACTTAGAAGTGAAGAGAAATTGAGTTACTTAAACACTACTGAGTTAATTAAAAAATTAGATCCTCAACTTCTTGCATGTTTCATATCCAAAGTCAAGAGTTTATCATCAGTTCAACAGCATGGTTCCATAGGCAGTGATGGGAAGATTCAGTATGCAATTGCAAAGCCTACTTCCAGACATTTAACCTAGTCTTTGAAGCTGTTATTAATAATTTAGTCCTATTCAATATAGTCTGTAGAGCCTGACTATATCCCACTAAAATGGGTTCCTGAATGGTGAACTGAAATGCACTCCAAACTCCACTGACTGTATTGGTTAGAACTAAACTGGCTATAATGGAAGGTTAGATGCCAAGTCTCTGTGTTAAACCCATGATTAGATATCTAAATTTAAGTATCCTGTAATGAATCCTGCCATCTTTGTAGAATTCATCAGCTTTGTGGCTTATTATTAAAATATATCTAGAGATTTATCACTGTACACCTCCATGTTTAGGTAGTCTAGTCACCAGTCTATTTAGAAATCCCCAACATGACATGGGAAATTCAGAACTCTAAAAATGAGAAAGACATACAGGGCTAATAACCCTTTTTAGTGTGTCTTAAGCACTGGACTAGTGGCTCTCCACAACAATCTACACTTTTAGTCAAATGTGTGCCTTTTTTCAGAAACTTGTGTATGGAAGAAAGAGAGAAGTCACTCCAGTTCAGATCTTAGACTCTCAATTCTTACTATCCATAAACTGAAAATGTAAGACTGTTAGTCTCCAAATAATGGATAGATAAGTGTTACACAGTTCTTGCCTATGATACTGAATCTATGTGAGTGTAAGTGGTCTAAAGCAGAGCAACAGGGAGACTATATTTGCCCTTAAGCTGAGGCTTCTAGTGTGTAAAGCTAGATGAGTGTATAAACTTTCTCTGAAAATTTGACCTCTACCTTCTCCCCAGTAAAAGCAAATACACTTTTAGGTTTGGCAGTAGTGCAAGGAGTTAGTCTAATCCTGGGAGGACCACCATCCTAATTGTGGTGCCTCCTCTGCCAGGCTGGAGACAGCATTCTGGACAGAAAAAATCACATTACTCTGACCTGATATTGTGAAGGATTTCTATGCATAGAGAAAATAAAAACCTAGCTGGACAAGCTTTTGAACAACTGGATTTGTTCTGAGCATGGTGTTGGACGCTGCTGACCTCCAGATGTTCCTTCCAACCTAAATCATCCCACTATTTCATCATTCCAATCTTAGGTTATGTTTTGTTTTTATACTATCTATACATATTTTAAACAACAGCAAAAGTTTTGTTGTGGTCACAGTTTAAAAGTATTACAAGTAAATCCACATTCCCTATACCTCACAGTGAGTTGTAGCCTTTATGCTCACAATAAGCCATTCAAATGTCACTTATTTTTTAAAGACAATGCATAATATAAATTTACTATTTAAAAATGATTATGATCAAGAGGTGTGTTATTCAGCTTACCCAATGGCATCAGAGCAAACTGAAGAAATATAACTGGAATCAGATCCTGTATTTCTAAAAATGAAATAGTGATGCTCTGAAACCTTGGTCTTCTTAATTTCCTGACAGATGTGGTTTTGTTAGGTTTACATACAATCATTTCTAGGGTATTAAAAACTTATTTCCTATTATATAAATGTGAACAATGTAACTAGTCTGTTTTTACAGTTTTTTAGTTTATATACAATTAAAATTCATCTTTCTGAAAGACAAGGAAAAAAGATCTTAACATGGCCTAGAAAAATATGCATATGTTCATTTATATGCATCAACCACATTAACAGGTCCTGGTTTTCATTCTATTTCTGTACACTTAAGTAATTAAAAAACCTCTTTATGTTAATCAAACTGGTTGGATTCTAAGACAAAACATAATGCACAGGTCTTCATTTACTTTATCTTGAACAAGTAAATTCAGGAGGCACTTTTTTACCTTTGCTTTAGTCGTCTTTTGGCTGTTGTAGGAACATTAGCACCATACCCATATGAGAAGAGAACCCTTTCAGCTTCAACTTCATCTTCCACTGCAAAAAAAATGCAGAAAGGTACTGTTGAAGAACATAATTACAGTGCAAGTTCTTACAAACTTCTAAGTAATTCTATTTATAATTATACACATGCACAAACATTTCTCTAGAAGCTAGATTTTCAGTTGGTTTAAACTTCTGGACTTCAGTAGAACAATTTTGTTCACAATTAGCATTAATACAGTGCTATATATTAACTTACAACTCTAGCATGCACTTCACTTTTTATTTTTCTGATTAACATGACTTATGCAATAGGAAAGTAAAAGAAGAGAGTTCAGTGTCCTCAAATATTTGTATTATTGGTATAATCACAAAATATACACTAATAGTAAAAGTCCAATTCAGCAGTATAGCGTTATGTTGCTTAGGTTTTTTCCTAAAAAAATAATTTTTTGTGCATACATGAGGAAGTAGAGGAAGATAAAATTAGGGAATGCTTAAACCGATTGGACATAAACAAGTCCATGGGACCAGAAGGGACACATCTGAGGTTGCTGAGGGAGCTGATGTTGCTGTGAGGCTGCTCACTATCATTTTTGAAAGACTGTGTTGATTAGAAATTTCTGATAACCTGGAGAAAACAAATGCCATACTCATCTTCAGAGAAGGGCAAGAAGGAGATTTTTATGTTTATGTAAAGTAAAAATATTCAGAATAATCTCTGCCTTCGTAGATGATTGATTTCTGAAAATGTATTTCTAAGGATTTAAAACACATTGGAATTGCTTTGAAAAGAAATCTCAATAGCAGCAAGATGAAAACATACACAGCTTTGAATATTTCAGCTTGTGTAATTTAGGTTTCCTCTCTCCTGTAAGATAAAGTGGCCCAGAAAAAAAAAGAAAAAAAATAAAGAAGTGTGTGTGCAGGAAGTAGGCAGGGGCAGAGAGAGGGGGACAGAGAGGAGGGGTAAAGGGGGACAAAGAGAAAGTGGGAGCAGCAGGGGTGTGAGAGAGGGCCAGACTACAATGGAACACCAGCCCAGGCACTACACAACAGCTTTGATGAATCAAGTAGTTGGGGACAGGAGAAACAAATTTGGGAAATGACATGACAGTCCTGTCTGACTCATCCTTCCTAATGCTCAAGTGCCTCAAAATCAGAAATACCTTTTCCTCTCAACAACTTGCACAATGCTATAGCTTCTTTCCTTGCTTATCTAATACCCTTTTAATGCTATTTTAAACAAGGATTCTTAAAACATTTAGAAAGAGAAAAGCCTCTAGTAGAGCACTTATCATAAGCCACATATTTAGTTACACAAAAAACAATACAGAAATTCCAGTAAGTATGACAGAAAAAGTTTACTGATGTAGCCGTAGAAAGGCACCAGAATTTCAGATTTTCAAGGCTGTCTTAGTTATGACAGGAAATTCTCCAGTGCCTTAAATACCTCTGGTTCAGAAAAACATAAGTATAATTTAACCCGCCTTTGTCATAATCCTTCTTTTTGCTTGCAAATTCAGTATTCTATGTCTCTGAAAAATGTCAGTGAGGTCCTGCCCTATAAATTCACATCTGTCAGTAGTGTCCATGTAAATGCCAGAATGTGAAGACAAATACAAAAAAATTTGGAAATGTTGTAGATAACAAAATAATGTTCTGTATCAGTGTGTGCTTCTCATATCTTCTTTTTTGTCTTTCCAGGCTCTTCACCTGACTATGTGGTGTAAAATACACATTTTACAAGTTAGGGGACACTTATTAACGATAGTTTCTTATACTACGTAGCAAAAAAGTGTCATTGTGAAGATACAGATAAGCTCAACCTTTTTCTTAAAAAGATACTAACCAATGGAAGCAAGAAAAAACAAACAACTCGTCTACAACAAAAATAGCCCAAAGTGAAGATTTTAACCTGAAAACGAAGAACAGACAAATGCCAAGAAAGTTTACTATTGTTATTCATGTGGAAACCACTCAAATGCTGTAAGGACTGGCTACATAAATTTTTGATAGTTTCTTGAATAGGCTGTTTCATGTTATTTCAACATTAAAAAAAATGAGGCATAATGATGAGGGAGTAACAGTAACAATTCAGTGATCTCTTCCACATGTACATTCTCCAAAGGAAAAAAAAAAGTTTACATGATTATATGACAAAAGCCACCTCACATGTGCAAATACACACGTTATTAAAAAGTCCAGAGAACCCAACCCCCACCAGCACCCCAAAATATTGTAAAACAGCAGAGGCTTCATAACTCAAGGGGGAGAAGAAAAAAATATTACGTCGTATTGAAATATAAAGAAGTGACCACAGGACAGAAGACTAAAATCTTATTCTTACTGAAGTGCACAGAAAATTCTAATTGTCTTCCACACAATGCTTCAGCCTAAATTATATTCTCTGAGGGATAGACTGGAGTATTTCCAGAACACACTAAGTTTGAAAAATAATTATATTTCCTTTCTTTCAACTATTTTTCTACCTTTATCTTTTTATGACATGTAAATACCAGGACATAATTTAAGACATAGGAAGAAGTATGTCTGTGTTCTCCTTCAAAGGGTTTTTTAAAAAGAAATACTTTTATTTCTTCTGATTTTCCTCAGAAGTTTACCTTGGTGCTGGAATTCAGGCTTAATTAGTATTAATCTTAACTTTCAATACCAAATCACTATAATAATAGTAAGAAAAAACAATGTTAGTTATTAAATAGGAAGTATATTGAAATAATATTGAACTATAGCCCTTTTTTCTCAAAAAAAACCCCAGAAAATAAAGTAACTATATTTTAACAGAACAGACAATTTGGAAGCTTGGATTTCTTTAAGTCATATTCTGTAACACAGAATATAAATTATAATTAAAATACATACATAAGAAGTTAAGAATTATTTAGTTCTGTAAAATCTTTACTGCCATCCCAAGATGCATAAGAAAATGTAAATCAGTGTAAACAAAAATGAGCATTCTGAACACTATCTTCTCCTTGGAAAAATTGAAAGGTCCAAAAATTCTGTATTAATACATAAATACTCCTTAGGCAAATTTTATATCTTTACACTTCAAAAAAATGTTACTGACTAAAACATAAGCACATCTATAACAAACAGGCTTATGGTCATACTGGAACCTTTGGGTAGTCATGCCATTCTAACAAGTACAAGCTGCAGTGTATGAAATTAACAAAGTATGGACAGTCTAATTACTAAAGGTACCTAGATATCACTGCATCCCAGTAATACATACTTTGCTGTACACTACTGTTTATATATAAAGCTTATGCAATGATCTTCTACTTGGAAAACATTATTTTTCAATTATGATTACTTTTTGGAGGAGCAAACAAAGAGAAAAGGACAAAAAGACATACAAATTAGTTTGAAATCTTAAAATGGATATCCTACTCTGTTTACATACAGGCTAAAAGACTTCAAGATTAGAGTCTTAGTTTCAAATTAGAAATTACTTGCTTTCTGGATTCATTTAGGCTGTGAATCAAATCAATAGAGATGTCACAGAAATTTTGCTGTGTTTGACCACAGTTATTGTTACTTTTGCCAACAAGAGACTAAAATTTTCAAGAGTAATCAGGCCTGAGTTTAAACCAGAGTTTAGTACTTGGAACAGACTGATCTGCCACAACCAACTACTTAATGTCTAATTATTATTAATTCAATGCAAGAAGGAGCTTTTTTCACCCCCAATCCATTCAAAAATTCACATTAATCACTGTACTGTATTATGAAACCCATTATCATTTGTCAACAATGAGAGTTTCCTGGTATTCAAAATATACTTAAATAACAGGAGAATCCTAAAAAACATATCTAATTATAATAGATGACTAGAATAAGGATAAGATAAATGAGGGAAAAAGAAACACTGAGATGATTTTTAATATCCATATGTCTAAGTTCATGTTTCTTTGATACATACAAATATGATTAGAAACCCATCATTAATTTCTATCAAAATAATTACTGCATCTTAATTGTCAGGCATACAGACGAAGAATGACAGGCACTGTAATACTTTCCAATTGCCATGAAAAACAAAACATCTTGTCATAATGCCAGAAACATCTACAGATAGAATACAATTTGTTACAGAACTTACTTTCTGCTGTCTGCAATATTATCTCATCAAGCTCTTTTTCAAGTTTTTCATAAGTATCTAGCCTTGCTTGAAACTCTGAATTCTGTGTTTGAAGTTCAATAATGCGTGTTTCACTAGAAGACTGAAGACTATAAAATTCCTTAGTAAGCACCTGTGAGAATGAATAATGGAAAGATCAGAGATTCAGCATTACAGCTATTTATGAAAGAGGCAAAATAGATGTGTAAAATGCTTATCAGTATTATACCAAACATTTGATGTGACTTTTGCACAACAAAGATTAAAACACTTTAAAAAGCAGTTATTTTTTTGCAACTATATTGTCTTGCACAGATTACACTCTCAGGTCCTAACACTTATGCCCATCTCCTAAGGCCTTAGTAATTCTAAGAATCTCTCAAAAAGCTACAAGAATTTTAAAGAAGAATTAGGAAAAACAAGGTAACAACTGAAAAAAATTATTACACAGCAGTAAAAACTGTGAAATTGCATTTATAATTGAATATTTTAGATTGGTCTAGTGTCACAGAAGAATAAAGGTACAGGTTAAAATTTGGCAACATATAAACCATCTGTTTCCTAGTTTTAGCATGCATAAGAAAAGAAACCACTCTGTGCTGAAATCCAAATAAAAGCAAGAGTTGGTTCACAAAGCAGCTGTAGCTGAGACACAAAATACTAGTGCCTGCACTATTAAGATCAATATTCTATAAGAAGGGTAAGAAAAAAAACTTACTACATTGATAATATATAAAAGAAAGGAAATTAAAAAAAATAAAAATTCAGTCAAAAGGAACAAAAGTAAAAGCTTCAGACATGAAATATTTAAATTCTGCAAGAACATTTCTTAATGAAGGAGCACTGATTTCAAAGTGTCCCTCTGAAGAGAAAAAAAGGTGACAAAGGTGTTAGTAGAGTTGAATGCCAAATATTCAAGATGTTATTTAGATCAAATAAATATTCACAAAGAAAAAGGAAATGTAACTTAAGTTTCATAGAATCATAGAATAGATAGGCTTGGGAGAGATCTTAAAGATCATCAAGTTCCAACCCCCTGCCATGGGCAGGGACACCCTCCACTAGACCAGGTTGCTCAAAGCCTCATCCAGCCTGGCCTTGAACACCTCCAGGGATGGGGCATCCACAACTTCCCTGGGCAGCCTGTTCCAGTGTCTCACCACCCTCACAGTGAAGAATTTCTTATTTTTTATCTAAGCTAAATCTACCCTCTTCCAGTTTAAAGCCATTACCCCTTGTTCTATTACTACATGCCCTTGTAAAAAGGCATCTTCTCAAAGTTTAGACATGTCTGTGTAATTAAATATCTGTTTAGCAACCTCAGAGTCTAGCAAAACTGGCACTCCCAGTGCTCATGACCACAAATAACCTCATCAGCTAGGATCTGAATGTCCCAATACAGACAAAACAAGAAATTACATTTTATCTAAAACTGTTTCCACTCTATAGTTCTTCATGAACACCTTAGGCAGATTCATCAGTAGAAACACAGGAACTTGAAGAACAGCATAATTCTCCAAAAAAACGAAGGCTGCCATAGCTGGCACTCGGAAAAAAGTTTTTTAATCTGTCCTGGCCAGTTTGTATCCTGATGTTTTAGACATACACTGCAAATCTCATTTAAATCTCACAAATTGGATCCAGTAATATGATTTTGGGACTAACTTTGCACAGGTGAATAAATTCTGTTTTAAAGTAAGTTGGCTCTGTTGAATACTGGACGCCTCTCTAATACTAAATTAAGTGAACAGGTTTTAAAGTACATGTTTGAAAGATAATAAATTCTAAGCCTATAGAGATAAAAAGGTCCAAGTCATTCAACCCTATTTAAATAGGCACACTGGGTGCAGGTGCCCAGTTGCAGGCAGCGGGGGCTGCAGGGCGGCCTCTGTGAGGAGAGGAGAGGCCGGGGCTGCCCCGTGCCAGACACAGCCAGTTCCAGCCAGCTCCAAGCCACCCACCGCAGGGCACGGCGGGCCCGCAGACAAGGTGGGGGTGGTGGCACTTCAGGGAAAATGTATTTAAGAAAGGACAAAAATACTGCATGGCAGTGAGGAAAAACAGTGTGAGAAACAGCCTTGGTGCAGACACCAAGGTGAGAGAAGGAGGGGAGGAGGTGCTCCAGGTGTGGGAGCAGAGATTGCCTTGCAGCCTGTAGAGAAGACCATGGTAAAGCAGGTTGTCCTCCTGCTGACCATGAAAGACCTCACCAGAGCAAATATCCACACTACAGTCCATAGAGGACCCCATGCTGGATCAGGCTGACATGCCCTGAAGGAACTGCAATCTGTGGAGAGCCCAAACAGGAGCAGATTTTCTCTTGAAGGAAGATGCAGCCCATGGAGGATCCATACTGGAGGAGAGTAAAAGTGTGAGGAGGAAGGAGCAGCAGAAAGGAACTGTTATGGACTGACCTCAACCCCCATTCCCCATCTCTCCCTGCGCTGCTCAGGGAGGGAGAGGTAGAAGGGTCAGAAATGAAGGAGGGAAGTTAAACCCAGAAGATAAAGGACTGGGAAAAGATGTTTTAGTTTTTGCCTTTGTTTCTCACCATCCACATCTGTTTCAACTGGTAATAAGTGAAATAATTTTCCCCATGTCAAGTCTGTTTTGCCCATAATGGTAACTGGTAAGTGATCTCCCTACCTTTATATCAACTCATGACCTTTTTCAGCTTGTTTACCTCCCTGTTCTCTTGAGGATGGAGACAGAGAGCAGCTGGGTGGGTATCCGGCAGCCAGACAAGGTCAACCCACCACAACAGGATTAGCAGTTTTCGATGCTGTATGTACCATGCTCTCCTTGACCTCCTCAGATATAAAAATTTCTTCCAGAATAGTGTATCAATAAAAAGTATTTTTGTTATGTAACAATGCTATTACAAATCATAGTTTTTAACAATGATACCACATTCACCGTAACTGTTCTGGTAAAACTGTCTTCTTTCTGTACAATCACACAGACTGACACAAGCAGCTTTGTAATACAAGCATATATATATACTTCACATGAATGACATACTGTCTTCAAAATCTCTCCATGAGAGAGTGTTTTGCTGTCTTCCTCTCCCCTAAGTCTTGTTTTCCATTGAACTGGTCAACAAGCTTTGTCATTAGATTCTGCTTCAGCAGAATTTGGTGGAGATACAAATTCAGCTGTGTATGTTCTTTGCTGCTTGTTCCCCAAGCTTTTCAATTTTCAATGCTCTGTAAAGTGTCTCTTTATGTAACATACCTCCAGCTTCCTCTGATATTTCTCACATTCCATTTGGCACTGTGAAAGATTCTTAGCTGTTTCTTGTTGCATGAGTTGAATATGTTCACTTTCAAAGGATTTCAGTTTACTTTGGTGAAGAAGCTCAGCTACTTTGCTTTCTGTGCCAAGCTGCATTTGTCTATACCTTAAAGAAAAAAAAATTAAAAAAAGAAAAAAAAAGCTTTGATGATTAAAAAATAAACATAGAATACATGCTCGTCGTGTTCATTACAGGTATAAATTTCAGAAATTAATATTGTTAAGAGTTTAATAAGTATTAGTATGGTTATTTATGTAACTATTGTAACCTGTATTTGAAACATCATTAGGAAAATTTAATACTATAATAACAACAAAACATAGTATGTGGAAAACTCAGTCTATGGCTTTTCTGAATATGTGGTTGATCCACAATCAAATGACAATGACTCTACAGTATCTTATTTTTAAAAAATGTTATATTGATGTGAATATCTTTCTCAGTACACAAATTCATGCACTGAAGCCTTTTAATGGGAGAGATACTACGGAGATGTTGTCTCCGGTCTTCACAACCACGTGTGACATGCAATAGGAAGAAGCAGCATTAGACATCAGTGGTATCAATGACATATCCCCTGGGATATCCCTTTGGGATATCATGGATATCAGCTACACTGCTTTTTCCCATACCCAAAGTTACGTAGAAATGTCAGACCACAATGCTGTATTAATTTCCACAGTCATTCAGAACCACAGGTCCTTCTCAAAAAGCAGAAATTAAGTATTTTTTTGAGAACAGCACTACAAGGTATCTATACATGACAGATAAATAATATTCCACTTACAAGTGGGCTTCCTTCATTCTACTCATTGTACTTAACAGGCAATCTCAAAAAACAGGGTTAAAAAAGTTTGCTGATAGAATACTAAATTACCGGACTATAGAAAAATGAGGGTGATGTGAAGAACAGTAGAAAACCATATGAAACTTAGCATTAAATAACATATAAAATTCAAAGGAGATATATGCCAAGTAAATCACAGCTTATAAAAATGATCCTAACCATATACATAAAATGATGAATTCCTATCTGACTGTTTTAATTCATTGAGATCTTGGGATTATACTAGACAAATCCATTAAAACTTTCACTCAGTTTTAAATAATGGTGTCCTAGTTTCGGCTGGGACAGTTAAATTTCTTCATAGCAACTAGTTAAGAGGCTATGTTTTGGATTTGGGCTAAAAAGGCTGGTAACATACTGATGTTTATAGTTGCTGCTGGCACAGTCAAGGACTTTCCAGCTTCTCTGCTGTGCCAGTGTCTGCAGGTGCAGGAGAAGCTGGGAGGGAGCACAGCCCCAAGTACTAGCCTAGGATTCTATCTTAGGTTTAGGACTGAGACCCAAACTGGCCAATGGCATATTCCATATCATGCATGTCATGCCCAGTACATAGATGAGGATCTGTCTGGAAGATCTCACTCTCTCACTTGGCTCTTGGTTTCTTTGACACTCAGGCTAAGATAAGATCTCCTTTCCAGGGTTGTGGTTTTGGAACTCTACATGCTCCAGGACTATCAGCAAGGAACGGGCTGAGCCTTGATCATCAGGTGGTGAGCACTCATTTGTATATATTACCATTATTATTACCATTGTTATTTCTATCATTATTATTTTCCATGTTATTATATTTTGGTTATTAAATTGTTCTTATCTCAATCCACGAGCCTCTTTTCCCTTTACCCCTTTAATTCTCTCCCCCATTGCCAGGAGCGGGGAGGGTGAACGAGTGTCTGTGTGGTATTTTTTTGCTGCTAGCTGGGTTGAAAATCACAACAAATGGTCAAAACCAACATTTTGGCAATTACTGTGAAGGCAATAGAGAAAATACAGAAATTGCACCACTTTACAATTCTATGATGTTTGCCAGCATACTGAATGCTGATTACCATTCTAGTACCTCACCTCACACGGAATCTAACAGAAGTGCTAAAGCATCAGAGAAGGTTAATAAGGATTACCTTTGACAACCAACAACATCATGCACTTATACAGTCGCACTGCGTGGATGAAATTACATTCCACTTGTGTCAGGTGCAAGAGGATGGAAGATCTGCTCACCATGGTGGCCGAGCTGAAAGATGAGGTGGAGAGACTGAGAGCCATCAGGGACTGTGAGCGGGAGATCAACTGGTGGAGTAACTCCCTGGCGTGCCAGAGGGAAAGGCGCCAGGGGATGGGGAGGGTTGGGAGAGGGTCCCTGCTCGGTGTCACAGGCAAACCCCCCCTCTGCCTGCCCCGTGTCTCCAGGTCCCACTGAGCAATAGGTTTGTAGCATTGGACATTGAAGGGGAGGTAAGTGGGGAGGCGCGGGAAGGTTCCCCTAAGAGGTTTCCAAGGGTGAGGCAGTTGACTCTACTCATTCAGACTGTCTCTGCCAGGAAAAGAAGAAGGGTGGTTGTGGTAGGCGACTCCATTCTCAGAGGAACGGAGGGGCCCATTTGCAGACCGGACCCGAGCTGTAGGGAAGTGTGCTGCCTCCCTGGGGCCTAGGTCAGGGATATAACTAGAAAACTCACAGAGCTGGTTCACCCCACTGATTACTAC